TATATATATATATATAATCCTGGTTCCTTAAGATAGCTTTTTAGAGTATTAATTTTTTAGAGTTTAGGTAATTAAAATTCAGCTCAAATTCTAAGAAAAACAATAGAAGTTCATGACACTTCATCATCTGAAATGAAATCTATTTCCTTCGATTCTAAATATAAGTAAAAAAATATATATATATATATAATTGACCCAAGTTGAAAAAGTAAGTTAATATCATTTAATTATACTAATCTCATTTAAAAGATAACCTAATTTTCTAAATTATCTTTTTTTAAGTTTAATATATTAAGAATAAAAATTATTATTAAAAATACAATCTTAATTAATTGAACGGGGATATTTTGAAGTTTTTAGCCTTAAATATAGTAAATTTAGTTAAAATTTATTTATATTTGAGACCAACATATAATTTTCTTTTGTTGTTGCTTATATTAAAATCACGAGAGAGTAGTGCTAGCTACATAATTAATTCCGAGGGCTTTATATATTTCGGTTTTGATATTCATTCCTCTAAAACAATAGTTAGATGTGGATACATGCATGTATTAAATATTACATTTATTAAAGAAGTCTTTTCAGTTTTAATTCTCAATTTATTGCCTGTAGTTTATAGTTAACCGTATGTTTTTCACATAAATTGTTCACATTGAATTAACCTACGAGAACTCACCTACCAAGGTTGTTTAATTTCACATCGGAACTTCAAGGAGCTTCCATGTTTTCAATGCAACCATGTATAGTACGTACGTAACTCTTAAATTTTCTTCACCAAGTTTTCAACATTTGATAACCAAGAACACTGTGATCCAGCTCATGCACAAGTGCTTCTGGAAAAATGTCCTTTGCAAATTTTTCGGGCTTAGGATGTCCTCAATAAGATTTGTAATCATATTTGTTGACTAATCTCTATGGGTGGAAACAAAAACCATGTATATATATAAAATTCAAATGGATCTTACTTTATTTTTATTTTATTTTTTCTGTTAAAAGAGTAATGCATATGCCTTTTACTTTCCTATATTTTCCACGATATTTGCTAGCTTTTTTGACCATCAATCTGTTTTGGTTTAACTTTTTGCTCCTCATGCAATTTAATTTACTTCTTGTTATATTTTACTTTAGATATGCTTGCTTTTCCTTTGTCAAAATAAAGGCTTCTTAATTTGTTATTCCACACTATTCACTTTATTAATTAGCAAAATTAAAGAAAAAAGAAGAATTAGGAACTTGTCTCTTCAATGCTATTCTTATACTACATTAATGCACACATCTGTCTACATTAATTTATTCTCTGGAGAAAAAAATGAGGGAAGTAAAAGAAATTAAAGTGACAACCAATATATTTAATTTATGTATTCTCGGTTAATATTATAAAACCAACATTTTCATGTAGGTGCTGTGATAGCAAATTAGCATGTAAAAGCCCCTCTCAAGTAATTTGCCAGTTGTTAGGTATAATTAAAATTAATGTAGATTAGTTTTATACCTCTACCGGTATATGGGGAGCAGATCCTCTAGAGTGACATTACCACTCAAGAAATTATATTTTATTAATATAATGTATTTTTATTATAAAGAATAAGTTTTAAAAATAAATTATGAGATTTTAACACTTTAATGTTTTGTTTTTTCACGGCAGAGATCCATTCTCTAAGGCATCTTTCCTGAGAGAACATTTCTTTATTTGTATTGATAAAAATAGTGTGAAAAGAAGTACGTAGTAGATAAGATGGAATGCAATAAAAAAAAATGGAAATAGAATAAAATTTTTCCATTTCTCTTGGTAAAACTTCTTATATAGATATTTTTCTCTCATTTTTCTTCTTTTTATGTAAGTTCCACTGTTCTTTTCATTCTAAAATGTTTCATGCATTAAACCCAGCCGTCCTAATTGTTGATTCTTAATTAGTACAAATTGGTAAGAAATAAAAGACAAAATTTACTTCATAATTCTTAGTATTATTTGATTTTGTTCTCTTATCAAAATTAAAGTTTTACTTCATAATTCATAAAATAGAATATTACATTAAATGTTAATAAATTTACTGAGCTGGGCCTGGTAGTGGTAGAATGCCTGAGTAATTTGATAAAAGCTTAAGATTAATATAACTACTACATTAATTTTGAACGATACTAAAAATACTTAAATTAGTTTACGAGTAGTGTCTAATTATATAAACTAGTAATGCCCATTTTTTATTTTATATATTCTCTATTTTATACATATATTCCATTTTATTCAATCTTTTATTTATTCAAACAAAATGAAAAAAAAAAAACTTTTTATATCTAAGTAACATAATACTTTTGATCTTTCATGCATGCAATACCATTTCCAATCTAGTGAGATCTTTTTCCTCAACTAAATTTTTTTCATCTACAAAATTCGAGTTTGGGAATTTTTTTTTGTTTTTTTTAAAAAGGAACCGAGGCTTCAATCTCAAAGTCTAATTGAACATTGGAAATTAGGGATAACAATAATTTTATGATTAAAAAAATGATAGCAGAAAACGCAGCTGTATTCCTCAAGGCGATTACTCAGTCACCCACCATTATTGATGAATGGCTAGAACCTTAACCTGTCCTTTTCACCTATTGTTGAATAGCTCTAACATGTTACAAAAACTTTGGACTATTAACACGTTATTGTTCCCATGCAGAAAAAATGAGCCATTTCCGACACAACTTAGTAACCATTTCCAGCTTTGACGCCACTAATTCCTCCTTGTCGTCCCATGTTTACGGTCAAATATCAAGATTGCGCAATCCACCACAAATCACAAACACGAGGGGCACACACGTGCGAAATCAAACACACCCCATAATAATACCACTAACATTAACATCTCTATGTTTTGTGTTAAGGGTCTAAGTCTAATCATCATTCCACACCAAGACATGGATCCCCTTTTATGCCTCTTTGGAATTTGGACTTGTCAAGGAATGAGTAAAGCTACAATAATTTTTAATCACATTACGTTTTTATTTTTTATTTTCTTAAAGTGAAATCAGAGGTGTCTTGACTAATTATGACAAATAAGGCAGCATGAAACTTTAGTGCAAGAATATCTACGACAACCCTTTTCTTTTGGTGGAGTATTGTGTCTTTGGAGAAAGTTCAAGATAAGAAAGTTAGGTGCAATGATGGTGTTATGCAGATTGAGGAACACATAGACAACAAAACGAGGGAATGTGATCAAAGGGAATGGCTCTTTTGCATTATTGACAAACATGGAGTTGGTTTTGTAGTTAGCTGGACCTAAGAAAAGGTGCAACTCCAAAAAAAGCAAGCTCAATAATTTAAGGGCCACTTTCATATCGTCAAACATGATTACACTCAATTAATCATTAGTCCTCTTGTTAAATTTAACCACTTTCCCTCCCATTTGCACTCAAATTCGCAATATAGATCCAAAAGGCTACGGTTGGAAAGGTCTTGTTCCACTACCATACAGAAAGATGACAGATAAATGGTCCCCACATGCCCCTAATTAATCCCCAAAATTCCCTCACTAAAGTCCTTTTGCAAAACAACATATTCTCAATCTTTTCTATTTTCTCCCCCCAACTCTTGTGCTTTTTCCTTTTTCTAGTGTGTTTGGTTTCCCGTTTCATGTGATTTTCAACTTCCACGTCAGAATTGTGCTTTTTTCCTTCTCAACGAGTTTCCAAACACACTTTCACATGACAAGCCCTCTAGGAATCACTCCAAGCAGCAAAAACTGGCAAATGAGACATTGAGAGTGGCCTAATTTGAGAGGGAAACCAAGGGCCAGCATTAGAAATAGGGCTAGTGACAATCTTGGACCCAATTGGAGGCTTTGGAAAGAGCATAGTGGGGCCCGTTTTATCAGGGCTACCTTCCCTTGAGCTGCTTAAACTTGTCACCATCGAAGAGGGGTTTGAAAAATGAGTCCCTATCTTAGTAGAGTCCTCTAGCATCGCATGGCTAGATCCTACTGAGTCAATCCCAATGAGATCTTGTAGGGACACTGAGAAACCAGAACCCCTATAATTTCCACATTTCATGGGTTTTGGGTCACAGTTGTTTGACTGTTGCTGATCATGATACAAAACCATCTTCCAATCCGATGATGAACCATTTTCATTGGCGTGCTTGTTCACAGCTTCAACCTCTTCCTTGTTCATTACTTGTTGCTGTTGGCTTGACACAACATTGTACTCTATGGCCTCAGTCCTTGGCTCACTTTCTTTGTTCCTTCTTGCCAACTCTCCCGCGAGAAGGGTGTTGCTGGCCATGATCCTCTCCACATCGTACCTTGATATGTCAAAGTTTGTCACAGCATTCACCCCACGAAATTTTATTGCTGCTACATCATATGCTTCAGCTGCTTCTTCTTGAGTGCCTGAAATTTAATTTATGTAAAAAAATATTCCACTTTTGATATAAACTTAACTTTGATACACTATGAGTGTTCCAACTAATCACAACTCATCTTAGATATGACTTTTAAAATAAATGTGAACGAAAAATCTCAGCGTGGATAGAGACAGATATGTTAAATAATATATAAGTGAATATATATATAGTCAGCCCACATATCTGTATGATTAGTTTCCTTGTGTGATTGACTCAATTTCTGGAAAAGAATACCTAGGGTATAACACCTTTGTATCGTCTAAAACATTTTAGTTAAATTCAAATTTAAGAGGGTATTTAGAAAGAAAAAAAAAACACAAAAAGAGTGAACTTTCTTGGTTATTCTTGTGGGGAGATATTTACTATTCAGATACCTCTTTTTCCATCTTTCCAGAGAGAACCAGCTTTAAAAAAAAGTGACTTGTTGCACAGTCCAAAGTAGCCATAAGATCAGCCTTATAGAAAACTTTGGCAGTCACTAACTAGCAAACTGGCATTAATAACCAAGTCCTAAGAATGTATGCATTAGCGTTTCAGTTTCATGATTCGAATGCTAAAACAAACCCCACTATGGCTGTGAAAGATTTGTAATGAAGTACGAGGAAATGCAATGCAACAACTTTCTGGAAGGACTTACTGAATGTCCCAAGATAAAGGTCCTTATTTCCTGCAACTCTGCCTATCCTTGCTTGCCACCTGCCATGTTGGTGGTGCCTGCAACATTGGAAAGTGGATTTAACCCTAATTAGCAAACATGTTTAATGTCCATTCATAAGAAAAAAGTGGCAGGTTAACTGCATGAAACCTTGTCACTCCTCTGTACATTGAAGCACCCCTTGAAAACCCACTACTCTTTCTGCAAAGCAATCACCAACATCATCATTAAACATAAAAAATAATTGGTAGCTTTTAGCAACGTATATATTAGAAGTAATTATAATAATAATATGTGCACCTTCTCAAGTGGGCCACATATTCCTGCCTACTCATGTTCTTCATTTCTTCAAGTTCAGTTTGGTAATTTTCTAGCTGTCAAAGTAATATTAATATAAGAGAGAAAATGGGGCTCCAAGGAGTACAATTGCGAGCTTGAAATGCAATGCCACTGAATTTAAACGTACCGGGAAGTTTATGTGAGTTGAAGGACCCCAATACTTGAGAGCCGCAAGATCATAAGCCCTTGCAGCTTTTTCTTCCATATCATAACCACCTTCAGTTAAAAATAAAATAAAACTACCACTCATCAAATTGGCATTTCACATGAGAGTTGAAAATGCAGACCCTTGGGAAAGGACTTGTAGCTTACCCAAATAAACTAGGACATGCAACGTTTTGTTGAGTGGTCAATGGTCATCCACATTGGGAACACAACAGATGAAAGAATAAAGTTAGCGGCCACAGCTCAGAAAACAAAGTAAGAATACTTCAAAACAAATTGTTTTTTCCTCACTAATTCTATAGTCACAAAAATTTTATACATAAATAAGTAAATTGATTTATCACTGATTTATATATTCTTATACAAACCTTGTCGTCCTTTCCTAGTTTGTCCTTCTTTCTTGCAACTGTTGTCCCACAAATGCGCTTCATATCTACCAGTCCATCTGTGCCTGATAGACAACCACCAAGAAGTCACCACAAAATTGACATTAAACACAAACTAAAGAAGCAAAAACCACAATAAATTAAACTGAAAAAGTAGAATCCCCATAAATCTGACTAAATAAAATCCAAAAAACTTTAAAAGTGGACTAAAAAGAGGACCAAATAATCAAAATAATTATGGTAAAAGTTACGCAAATAAAGGGGTGAAGGTGAGTTGAAGTAACTAACCTTGTAACACCTCTATACTGCGAAGTTCTCTGCCCAAATGTGTCAATGGACTTCCTATGCACAGGTTGCTTATGACCAAGCTTACCAGACCCTCTCTTTTTGGCCTCCACAGTCACAGATTCAGTATTAGAAGATGAGATCTGAGTTGGAACAGTGATACAACTTGATTGAGAGCCGGGGCTCATAGACAGGCTTAAAGATTGTAACTCCCCACACTCCACTGTGCCAACACCACCATTCCCCCCAGAAGCACCATGATCCTCCACAAGTCCACCACTACTATTATTCACTTGATGCTGCTCCAGATTCTGCTGAGAAGAAGAATATTCCCTTGGTGGCACCCAGTTGTTGAAGCAAGCAATGCCTTCTTCCACCACTTGAGGCATTTGGGGTTCCTTGGCTTCTTCCTCCACTTGGTAAATCCCAAGCCCCGAGTAATATGGATGGGTTTGGTGCCTAAAAGGGTCAGAAAGAAGGTCCAAAGAAGAAGAATGGTCTCTGTTGGTTTCAGCTTCGGCATTTTGGTTACTATAGTAGATGCTGTCAAGGCTTAGAGCCATTGCTTCTCTTCCATGCCCTCCATAGTCTTGACCCCCCATAGTTGCACCACCTAGAAAGTCCTCAAGCTTTGGAGATGAAGTTGGCACCATCACTAAAAAAAAGCCACAACAACACTGTTAAACATCCATTTTTAAATATATATAAAAAATAAAAAAAATATGTTACCTTCATAATATGTTACATAATAAAGAAAGTTTTAAATGCATGGAAGAGGGTAAACAAATGCTATACCTTGGGATTGTGATCTGGTGAGGGCTTCCATAATGCAAAGTGAGCCATCAGACTTGAGAGGCATCATGGCCAAGGGAGAGTGAAAAGCACTGTTGTTGTCTCCAACACCATAGCAGATTCCTGATGTGTTGGGGTGTGAAGGTGACATGTAGAAGTTAGTGGGAACAGTGTTGCAAGCAGAAGTTTGAGGGTGATGATAGTAGTTATGATAATGATGGGGATGGATAGCAGAAGAAGAAGAAGTGACTTCCATTTTCATGTGGGGTGAGAGAGAGAACCCCAACCAGTTATGATTGTTGCCATCATCGGTGTTGCTATCATTCATGGACTTCATCTCTTTCTTTTTCTCCTTTTCTTCTCACCTTAATTACTAGAAAAAGGTTTGAACTCTCTACAACAAGTATCTGGTAGGCATGTCAATCATTGGGTTGCACATAAACAAATCATATCAAAATAATGATAATAATAATCTTGCCAATGGAGACTTGGATTTTGTTGTTTAGCTACAGCAGGTTTTTCTCACACCAACCAAACTATCCGTTTCATGTGCTAGCTAGCTCCACTAACACAAACACCAAAAAGAAAAAACACACAAACTATCTTTCTCAATCTATCTCTTTCTTCACTAGAGCATAACAAAACTGGTCTCTTTAAACTAAGCAGAAGGAATAAGTTTGTAGCGAGTGATGCTGGGAGCACCCACCTCATTCCATAGGGATCTGTGTTTGTATGTGTGGGTATATATATATACACACAACACACAACACACAACACACAAGGTCTTTTTTGCCTTCTCTTTTCTTATTTTTTTGTTGTTAAAAAAGTGAGAAATGAAAACTGTGGCACCCTACTTAGGCTTTTGTTAAACCCTATTTTAGACCCAGAATCAGATATGAAAGCGGATAAGAAGAAAGAACCCGAAATGGTAATGGTGAGAGAAACTTTTTCTGGTCAGTTTCTGAAAACTTGAATGCTAGTAGGTGAATCTAGTGGTAACATGCACCAAGATATAAAGGGGAATTGGGAAAACATTCGCTACTATGTAGCCAAAAACGTTTACTTTCATATTTTGTTCTGCTCAATTTTTATTTAAACACAATTTCTTTTCATATATATATATATATGATACATAGTGTTAAATTTGAGAATCAAAAATACAATTTCTTCTGACTAAACAATATTTTTATATTATCATAATCGAATCATAGAGCATCAGTCCTTTAAAAACAAACTTTATATTATATTATTTATATACATCTAAGAAAATTACTAAAATTTAACTAAAATATTTTCATTTTAACATATTTTTTTCATGTAGACATATTTAAAGACCATAAATTTAACAAGAAAATTATTTACTATTTAAAAAATAATATGTTTAATAATTTTGTTTTTATGGTGAGAACTGAGAAGGTTGAAATGCAGTGGTGCAGTGGAAGGGGGCCATGGATTTGACGGGCAGGACATATCTTGCCCATCCAGTCACTTCATACAGTACACCCATTCTGTGGCACCTGCATACTGCAAAGTCTAAAAGCATCTTTTATTTATTTATTTCTACAAATCATATCTGCTCCACGTATTATAATCATTTATGGTTCTTTATCAATTTTAAGTATGAATATCTCCTGCTACTAACAGATATTTTTTTAATTTAAATATAAAGATTAAATTTAAATGAGTAAATTTAAAAATAATTAAATATAACACTTATTTGTTGGTTACACTTATAAATAGTTATGGGATAAACACTTATTTTATTTCTTGAAATTGAAAATTATTAATTTTGCAAACTGAAAAATATCAAATAAAATATTGAAAGTGAAAATCAATTATCAATTCAAAATTAAAAAAAAAAACACGTGACTTTAATAATATTATTACTATATGTTTGAACTAAATTGATAATAGATACTTAAATTTGAAGAAAAAAATGCCATTTTTAAATTTACTTAACATATATAGTTTAGAAAATCAAGGTTGTAATGTCTTTTGAAATTTTTAGGTTAAAATAATTATTTAATAATAATAATAAATGAATAATTATTTTAATTCTTCAAATTTAAAATAATATTATATGATGTTTATATTTAGTTATTTTTTATGATTTAATTCTTAAACATATATTAATATCATTATTTAAGTAACATGTTTTAAAAAATGTAACGACTTATTATGATCGTTACACTAAACGAAATTATTATGACTAACAATATAAATTAAATTATTAAAACATACAAAATTAAAGAAGGAAATATGTTATATATAGTAATCCCAAAATAATCATATGTTTTAGTGCTGATCAAACATAACTATACAAGCTATATTTAGTAGCACTAACATTGACAAAGGATCACATTACTTGCCAGCAATCACTCCTCAAGCCTAGTCTTGATTTGCTTTAATATAGTATAAGATTATTATAGTTCAAACCACAATGGAATCAGAAAAGTAAGCTAGAGTTAAAAAATATCTAAGTATAAAAAATAATTTTCTAACATACAACATCATAACAAAACATAAAGCCAAACACCCCAAAGCAAACATGTACATCTCATCCACATCATATCAACCAAGACATTCAACACGTCACAACATACATCATATACAGACACCTCAACTATTGTGTCATTACGCATTCATCTACAGAGATTTTCAAACCGTATGAGTAGTCTAAGTGACTCTACCTTACCAAACCAACCTAATTATTACTGCACCCGAAACATCGACTTGATCACAACAAAATGGGATAACAATCTCTCCTTTGGTTTCTCAAGTTTTGTCACTAAAACTAAGAAAGTTTGATTGTATCGTTAGGAATAGTATATCTGGGTATAGACTTACCACAACCTTAGAATGCATCACCAAGCTACATATGAAATTTGTCCACTGATTATCCTCAAGTAACCATGCAACTTTTCTAAGTACTTGGTTAAAGGTGTAGCTCTCAACCTCTTACCTTACATAAACACTATCTAGGGACTTAGATGAGACATCAACACAACTCAAAACTCACTCCAAGAGACACACCTACTCTATGAGGATTTTCCAACAATGGCCTATTCGAGCTTCAATCCAAGACTCCTTATGTGGGATCTTCAATTTTTCAAAAATATTTTCCTTTTCTTAAGTTCTAAGTTAGTCAATAGGTCTTAATATCATACTTCATTTTTAGCATTCTTGTAACATTGTTTTAAATATAAAAAAACAAAGGGTTGATTCAGTAGTCTAGAACGGGCCGTTCCCAAACTGGAACGGGCCGTTCCAAACTACTGAATTGTACTATATATTATAGTTAAGAACGGGCCGTTCTAGGAAGGAGAACGGGCTGTTCCAGAGGGAGAACGGGCCGTTCCAGTATCTAAGATATCAGTGTGGGGTATACCAAAATGACTTTGATTTACACAGACGGAAGAAGTTCAAACACGATCCAGACAAGATTCGTCGATGGGAGAGAGCTATGACGGATTTGGCCAATTCTATGCAAGGAAGATTCTTCAATCTTATTAGAGGCATGGAGAATAATCTTTTTCTCCCCTTTCAAATCCACACCTGCTTTCTCAAAAATCTTAGACAATAATAAAGCATATGGAATTTGACCGTCCTCTTTCCTCTTGGCCTTCCACATACAGTCGTTCACCATAGACACCCAATCAATTTTAATCTTTTACTTGATTACATGCATCAGCAAAATGTCATCCCTTGACATTTGTGCATGATTATGCAACCGAGGCTTAAGCATCCAAGCTATGATAAAAGAAATTAAACGGGAATTTTTCTTCATACCTCCTGTCAGAAGTTTTGTGTAGTTGGTGTTCTCCGGGTTCCTCTGATAGTCTCTGAAGGTTGTCAGCTCCTCAAAATCACCAAAATTGAAGGGTTGGGGCTTTGTACTGCCATCTCCACTCAGCCCGGCAGCTTCCTTCAACGTTGGACCGTCAAGCTTTATGAGTTTGCCCTTCACCACTGATTGCATTATCCCTTCATTGCTTAAGGCAAAGCATAAGAATGGCCTTATAAGCTCAGGGTAATAGGGTCCTTCTAGTTCCACAAACTTCCCAAGTTCTTGGTGGTCTAAGAGAGTAGGAAAGCTAAACCCATCATTCTTGAACCATTCCAGCTTCAAGGTCTTGGGAGGGATGATTCTTATACCCACATACCATTCAAAATAGTAGTCTTGGGTTTTCTCATCAGCAAACCATTTTGAAATGAGTTGCTTCGTGGGTAGAGGTCGTTTTCTCCCCCTCACTTCTAGCTTCTTTGGCCTTTTGGAGGATGAAGCCATTATTGGGTTAAAGATTGGTTCTTTGGTGGAGATAAAGAAGATGAAGAAGATGAAGAGAATGAATGGGTTAGGGTTTGAGAGTTGAGAGAATGTGAGTATTTGGAAAAATGAGAGGGTTTGGAGGTTATAAAAGCCCTAGCACTGATTTTGGGTAGAGGAGAGGTTCCACAAATGAAGGGTAATGGAAAGTTGGAGGTTGGCGCGAATAAAACCGTTCAAAAACCTTCTGGAAAACCAAGGGTCGCGCAAATAATCGATTATCTATACAAATAATTGATTATTCGTATCAGTAAAATCCTTTGAAAAACCCTTTCTACACTAAATAATCAATTATTTTTGGAATAATCGACTATTCCAAAGGGTCATTTTCCTCAACCTTGCCCAGATAATCGATTATTTCCAAAATAATCGATTATTCCAGAGACTCTTTGTATTCTTCTTCTCAGATAATCGATTATTTCCCAAATAATCGATTATTCCAGAGACTTTTGGAATTCCTCTTTTCCTAGATAATCGATTATTGCCCAAATAATCGATTATTCTCATGGGCTCACTTACAATAATCAATTAAAATTTAAAATAATCGATTATTCCAGAGAAGTTTTGCTTCTCTTACTTCTAACTTTTCAAGCCATTCTAAATTTAATTCAACTCTTAAACACTCTCTTTTATGCCGTGTTTTGAGTTACCATTCTGGGTAATAATTTCTTTTTTTATTAGTGTTTGACCGGCACTAAGGAATATTTTGGGATGATTGTACATATATGGTGCTATATTGTATATACAGAAACTTAATTATTTTGATCTTTATATTTATGCATGTATGTATGTGTTATCCAGTTAAATATTCTCTTAGTTAACTAGTTGTATTGCGATTCCATTAAATGTAGAGACCGTGATGGGTCGTTACAATTCTCACCTCATGCATACATCATTTATATATATCACATCTAGTCAATGCATATAAGGATCAACAACCTCCTACAAATATACAACATACATATGCTCATCATCATCAACACCATATAAACATCTATATATGTCATATCCAATCAATATATATAGAGCTACAATTTTCATACTTCATACAACATGCAATAGAACTCATACATCTATTTATGTTCATCACACAATATTCCAAACAAAGCATATTCGTCATTCAAGCATTCCATGCCCAACGCAAAGTACCTCATGCCTAGTGGCAACGAACTATTTGTTTCACTCACACCCAATGCCATCTAAACCACACTTGGCATGATCGAGGTGGAGACCTCTTGAGACCTCGCACTTGGCGTTGCAAAACCCATGCTCGACCTCATATCAGGTAGAGAACCTTTACCTGACTCACGATCGACGTCACCTCAATAGTGTCCAACTTCACTAAGTAAGAGACTTCCCATACTCTCACTCTCAATGTCATTTGAATTGTGCCTTGCGTCATCCTGACTCCACCAATCCTACAATTGACATGATCGGGATAGAGACCTTTAATTGGAATGGTGTCTAGTTCCATGAAAGCACACTTGAGTCGGCCTGATGTGACATGAGAAATCTATGAATAAAAGTTTCAAAAATCACTTCAATCGAAAAACAACTAACTCAAATGTGCATTGCATCTAAATCCTCATACCAACTATATACAACTTAAAACCAAGATCAAATCACTAAAATTCACCCTAACACCCAAAAACACCAAAACCCTTCATATAAAA